TATTAAGAACCATCTAGTAAAAAAGAAAGCGACTGACTCCTGAGTGATTCAGAGACTTTCAAGCAGCAAACTTGTAATGCTTTACAAGATGAAAGGGAAGCGTATGTGTATGTTCAATACCATCACTTTTACAGAGAAATATGCCATAAAGCTGATACATATGCATGTCCATCAGCTGTCCTTGGTACTCTCTCCCACTTTTTTGACAAGTCAAACAAAGTATCATGTGCTATTTGCTCCATTTTACTATATTTTTTATTTTTAAAATATACCTGTTGTCCTCAAAAACCAGCCTTTTTTTGGATGACTTATGACTGCTCTTTAGAAGGCCAGATCCTGAAGTTGAAACTCAAGTACTTTGGCCACCTAATGAGAAGGAAGGACTCACTGGAGAAGAGCCTAATGCTGGGAAAGATTGAGGGCAATAGAAGAAGGGGAAGACAGAGAATGAGGTGGCTGGATGGAGTCACTGAAGCAACAGGCATGAGCTTAAATAGACTCCAGAAGATGGTAGAGGACAGGAAGGCCTGGAGAAAGTCCAGGGGGTCGCGATGGGTTGGATACAACTTCGCAACTAACAACGAAAAGAGCAGTATTTCTTAAACTTTTTTCTCTCTCTCAAGACTCCTTCCCCCTTTTAAAAATTATGGAGGACCCCAAAAGAGCTTTTGTTTTTAATTTTTTATTAAAAATTAAAATTGATGCATTCGCTACTACTACTGTTTCTCACAATTGTTTGATGGGATTCTAATATTGTATTACTTTTCAACAGAGGCTGGCAAATAAATTTGATTTTGCAGGCCCCTGAGACGACCACACTTTATGAACCACTAACTTAGAGCAATACAGTAGAATATCCTTAGTTAGCCAGCTCTTAGCCCAACTAAGTATTTTAAAGAAAAGGATCTATTATTTATTTATATATGTTGTATACTAATTACCACTACTCAGGTTTTCCACAAAGCAGTTCTATGATGTACAAATTGAGCAACAAGCAAAACATTTAAAAATTTCACTGGGATTTTACATGTATTCTTATTTGTCTGTCTTATTGCTTCTTAAGTGAAAGCATTAGTATCTCCTTGCCAGTATTTCACTGGGGTGTGTGTGTGTGTGTGCAGGAATAACTTGGAATAGGGTGCAAAGGAATGCTGCAGAAATGAAGTATTGACAAAAATCCAGGAAATATTTTCTGGTTCAAGTAATAGTTAAAAAAAACCCCATGAACATCGAAGCGTAAATCAATTAAAATGGAAAACTTAAACATCTTATCCTTTTCTAAGATCACACAATGTAGCATCATCATCATCACCACCACTGCCCATCCAATGAATATCTCAATCTTTGAATTGGGTATTTTCCAACAATTCAGATTTTATCCAAGAGGCCAGGAACCATGGAATTCTTATTCTTACTTGTATTAGGAAAACTTTGATGGAACCATCCTCCAGGTCTGTTGCTGTGACACACACACTCTTCCGGTTTGCTCTTTCTATCACCATCTGAGTCCACAGTTTGGTGTTAAGAATAAGCCTCATGCTTCCTTGATTTCGCATAACTGCAAGCATGAGAAACAGTATCAAAAAGGTAGTCAAGGAAATTAAAACATGTCAGACCTGAAGCAGATTTTTCTTGCAATTTGGAGAATTTCCATTACTCATTCTCATGATGCTGAAGGGCTTCCATTTTTTTCCAAAGGGAGAGAAAAAGATTTTTTGTATGAATCTGGATTTAGCAGCCTCCAAAGTAGTTGCAGAAAATATATCTTCCTTATGTACAGTATATACATATATATCTGCATTGACCAGTCACAGCAATATAGCAATAGCAATAGCACTGAGACTTATTTATAACTCCATAGTGCAGTGGTTCTCAACCTTTTTAATGCCGCGACCCCCAACCGGTCGTAAGTCGAGGACTAAACCGGTCGTAAGTCGAGGACTAAACCGGTCGTAAGTCGAGGACTACCCAACCGGTTGTAAGTCGAGGAGTTTCCCTGCCTGGGAGCGCCGCGCATGCGTGGTTCCGCCCCCTGCGCCGGCCGAGGCGTAGCTGGCAAGCGGCAGAGACAGAGTAGGCCGACCACCAGCTGGCCCAGCTCAAGGGAGGTAAGGCACCCACCGGAAAAGGGGGGGAAAATGGCGGACAGCCTTGCTTGGCAACCCCCGTGAAATGGTCGATTGACCCCAAATGGGGTCGCGACCCATAGGTTGAGAACTGCTGCCATAGTGCTTTACAGCACTCTTTGAGTGGTTTACAATTATTAGTCAAGTTGAAAGGAGGGCAAATGAGTCCTGTTTGGCTGATTCTTTTCTAGCATTGACTCTAAAAACTTGGCAAACCATTTTAATTGTAGAATAAACCTGCAAAACATAATAATCAGTGGTGGGATTCAGAAAGTTCACACCACTTCAGCAGAACCAGTAGCTAATTTTTTGTTGCCCAGACCCAGAATGGACTTCTGGAAGCAGCATCCACACAGAGAACTGGTTGTTCACATATTTGAATTCGACCATTGATAATAATCCAGATCCATGTCAAATGGGTTTAACTATGTTGAGAAGGATTGAGAGATGAAAAACTAATAGTAACAGAATAACAGAACAGAATAACAGAGTTGGAGGTCTTCTAATCCAATTTACTGCTCAAACAGGAAACCCAATATACCATTTCAGACAAATGATTGTTCAATCTACTAAATCTTTTTGTGATATGTTTTTGCAGATGAATTGTATGTGCATATTTTTTTAATAAATGAGTTTATGTGTACATGGGAGACCTCCAGAGAGTATCAAAGTAGGCTGGACTGAGAAGTCAAAGCAAATCGTAAAGAAAAGCAGTGATAATTTTTACCCAGTCTTGACTGAAGCAGTCCATGTTGATTGCTGGAGGTATCGTTTAGTCTCAAACAGCCACTGCCTCTTTCAGTCCAGCATAACAGGGCTTTATTAAATAAAAAAAGCCTGCAGTTGATCTAAGACAGAAGAAAGCATCATCATTATGATTCTTTCTATGACAGCAAATGTTTAAGAACAATGGTCAACTGGCTTCTAGGCTATTTCTATAGTTACTATCAATTTAAAAAGAAAAAGAAAATGACAGCTGAATGATCTAAACTGACTGCTGTGTGTTAACTACGTAGACATTTAAAAAGAAGGGAAGAACAAAATTTCTTATCAGAAATTGAAACAAAATCGCCTCCTCTTTTTAGGGGAAGATGGTTATTAGTGAACTTGCAAAATTCTCTTCTCCTACTTGTCCTTACGGCAATACTAGAAAAATCCTGCTGTAGAAGTAATAATAATAATAATAAAGTTGGAAGGGACCTTGGAGGTCTTCTAGTCCAACCCCCTGCTCAGGCAGGAAACCCTATACCATTTCAGACAAATGGCTGTCCAGTCTCTTCTTAAAAACTTCCAGTGATTTTCATTTTTAAAAAAAAATACATTTCCTTTCTATGAGTATATTTACATAGCAAGCATGAATGATTATCCTAATCCAGTGTGTGAAAAGCAGATTTCAACCTGTGGATCCCTTACTGAATGATAAATTATATCCAGATTGAAGTTCATATACAAATCCAGCTAAGGGTTTCTGCGAGTATCTAGCCTCAGCCTTGTAAAAATCAGTGATTCTGTCTTTCTACTGTCAAAAGGTTGAGAGGGCAGCTCCTTTCTTGCTGTCTCAGACAATTGGTCAATATAAAAGTTGCTCTTTGACAAAAGCTTCCAGCCTGGGCGGTTCTAACTGCTGCACTTGTAGACAACTGGATTAGTTTTATGATTTAGACAACTACAAAAGGATTTACATGGATAATGAAAATATGTTTCCTGAACATTATCTTGCCCAACATTGAAGAAATTGCTTTCATTTCCTACCTGATTTTTCTAACACAACAACACACGTACAAGACAGAAACATGTGAAGATATAATTGGTCTTGTGTAATTTAGGACCCTACATGAGATGGAATGGTTTTGATGCTTTTTGGTGCTCATGGCTGTATTTCCATTTTCTCTGTGGCTAGTTCTGGAATTCAGATGACTAGTAAAATTGATCGTTACAATTAAATAACTTTTGAGGAAGCTGTGTTCAAGAAAAAGAACAGATGACAGATACATTGCATACTAACTACTGGTAGTCCTCAGCTTACAACTACTGTATAACTGAACCCCAAATTTTGGTCATAAGACATTGTGGTTTTTAACTCAAGTCACCATTTGACTGGACTTAATTTTACAACTGTTCTTAAAACAGTCATTAAGCAATTCACTATAGTCATTAAGCAAATCGCACGATCACAAATCTTTACCTAACTTAACCAATGGGCAGGTTTTTTTGGCAGTTTTTGCCAGAAAATAGCAAAAAAGTTGCACAATACGATCATGTGACTGAGGGACGCAGCAATCAATCATAAATGGAAACCAATTGCCAAATGTCCGAAATACAATCATGTCATTATTCCTCATTCAGTAACTGGCTTCAATAAAAAAAAATAATCAGCAGCATGCCTAACTCCCATTGACATATCTTTATAAGAACTGTAAAGCCACCGTGTTAAATCAGTACATCAACAACTGTTCAGAAGGAGATATACCTGCAATACGTTGTGTTCCTCTTCTTCTCCTGTTGTAATTTCTATTTTTTCCAATAAATATCCTTGTGCAGTTTTGCTAGATAGGTAAGCAGCAGCTGATTCTGCTAGCGTTGAACCCTTAGAAAAATGAGGTGCTATTTCATAAGAAAGTAAGGAAAAGAAAATGATGAAATTATGGGAAGAAAGTCTTACAACAGTAATGAATATTATAGATATTAAATACATTCTCTTCAAATTGACTTTGATTCATAATTAGCTATTATTAACATGGAATTAGATACATCTGTGGTGATGAAGCTGATGAGATTGAATGAATTAACTATGTCTGTGCACATAGTGTGTGTGTATATATAAAACACATGCACATACATATTAAAAACAGTACTAAAAATAAAGGAATGATTCCTGGGTATACTCATGACGAGAGATAAAAAACGTGAACACCAGGAAAAGTTTAAAAAACTATAAAAGTTTTAATAAGTTAAAATCCTAGCTTTCGCTGGCCACTGCCGGCATCATCAGAGATCAATCTAGGTCAATGGGAGCGCTTATTTATACATAATCAAGCTGTTTCAGCGCCCAACCCATAGATGCCGTCATGGGGCTCAGTCGGCCAATCGATGTTCCGGTTGCAGTCTCCATATCATTAGCCAGTTTATCCTCGCTACTCCTATCCTCATACACCTTATTGCTCACTTTCCTCCCCCCCCTTTTTTCCGTGTTCCTATGTTAGCTTCATACTCTACCTTGTTAAGAGTGAGTCTATGTTCTATGTTGAATATTCTGGAGACATAGAACATAGACTCACTCTTAACAAGGTAGAGTATGAAGCTAACATAGGAACATGGAAAAAGGGGGGGGAGGAAAGTGAGCAATAAGGTGTATGAGGATAGGAGTAGCGAGGATAAACTGGCTAATGATATGGAGACTGCGACCGGAACATCGATTGGCCGACTGAGCCCCATGATGGCATCCATGGGTTGGGCGCTGAAACAGCTTGATTATGTATAAATAAGCGCTCCCATTGACCTAGATTGATCCCTGATGATGCTGGCAGTGGCCAGCGAAAGCTAGGATTTTAACATTAAAACTTTTATAGTTTTTTAAACTTTTCCTGGTGTTCACGTTTTTTATCTCTCGGCACATACATATATACATATACAGTTCATGCTAAATTATATATCATATCATGTATCATATCTATATAGTATTTACTGATATTTACTATAGTATATAGTAAATCCTTTCAAACTCATCAGCTCCATCACTACAGCTATCAAAACTTGGAAGTGTAATTTTTTTTTCTGCCATTTTGTGGCAAGAAACAAAATAGAAATTTAACATGAGACTTAAAATTGACTTAACTAAAAAATAAAAATAAATATCCAGCTCTGTTCACATAGTTGATCTCTCGGGGGCCTGCTCTATCTTGTATCATTGCACCACTCCAGATGATTGCCTTCATCCTCTAAAAATGGTCACTTGTCTTCATTTGACTTCCAAAAGGTTGCCTTGGAGAGCTAGAGGACACTAACATAGGCTATTTAGTCTAACTCACTGTTTAACCCACCTCTGCTTATTTCAGGAAATTCCCAGAAGCTATCAAAGCTATGAGAAATAAGGTCCTCCATCATGTCTGTAAACTTTTTCAATGCTAATTGCTCTTACCATCTCAAACTTTATCTTAATACTCAACTGCTACAAAGAACCCTCTTAGAGAAACTATTGGTTTCTAAGTCATTATATGGCCATCTCACCTACTCACCAGTCATCAGGTGTTTAACCTGATTTCATATTTGACATTGCTTAAAACTTTGGTTTATGTTGGGGCATGGCTATGGATGACACAGGAACAGAGTATGAACTTAATCCTGGGTAAAGACTGGAAAGAAGGTTGTCTGCAGGGTCCAAATGTTAAAACACTGGGCACAACTATGTGACTGAGGTTCTGGTCACCACAATAAAAAACAGATGCTGAGGACCTAGGAAGAGTACAGAATAGAGCAACAAAGATGATAAGAAATCTGGAGGCTAAATCCTATGAAGTACAATGAAAGAAACTATGTAGGTTTAGATTAACGAAGAGAAGACTGAGGGGAGACATGATAACAGTTTTCCAATACTATGAGGCAGGGGTGTCAAACTGGCAGCCCATGGGCTGGGTGCATCACGCACAGGCCATGCCCACCCCGGCTTCGCAAAGGCAAAAAACATCACGATACATCACAATACATCACGTGATGCTATTGAGTTTGACACCCGTACTATAAGGGCTATCACAGAAAAGAGGATGTTGATTTATTTTCCATTGCATCTGAGGATAGGACAAAAAGGAAACTCATCAGAGGGAGATCCAACTTGGAAATAAGGAGGAATTTCCTATCAGTAAAATCTGTTAAGCTATGGAACAACTGACCTCCCAGAGTTATGGTGCTCCATTGCTGGAGTTTCAAGAAAAGATTGGACAACCCTGTCTGAGAGGGTATGAGCAAAGGGTTGAACTAGAAGACCTCCAAGGTCCCTTTAATCTTTATGAGTCTACGAAGTTCCGTCTACTTTTTTGGTACAGGTTGTGCCTCCAGAACATGACCACACAGTTGCAGATACTATTTTGACCTTTTTGATGTAGCCTGTGAACATCTCTGACTGGAAATAAATGACAAAACATCCTTTGAGGGAGATGGGTAGTTCAGAAATGTGAAAAAATAGAGTGGAATACATCAGGCTGGGAAGAAAAAGTAGTCTGATATGATGTACGACATGCTCCTTTCTGAGCCTGGCTTTGCCTTAAATCAGCCACCCCAATTCTGAAATCTTGTAGATATACAGTATGGCCTAGAACTCCTGTCACCAACTGGGAGAGAGGGAGAGGCATTTTTGCAGGGGATTATGGAAGTGTCAACTAATTCTGGGTGGAGAAGGCTCTGTTTTCAGTGCTTAATACAATAACCATATGCACAATATCATGAAAGAGCAACATCAGTTTTATGCCATTGTTTTCTAAGAAACAGCACCTACTTGCCCACAGGGGTATGGCATGAAAATCTGGGGGACAGAGGGGCTCCTTTTCACTGATATGCTGCCCATCCTTGGACTGCAATTCTGGGGATTTCTCAGGCTTCTAGGAAAATTGGAGAAAGATCTTATTTGAATAAACACAATTAGGTCTGGAAAGATAACAAGATATTATGAGCGGGCATTTAAACATATGAAAGGCATTGTAATATACACATAGGCTTAGGCTAAGCTAAGCTAAGCCTAAGCCTAAGCCTAAGTATGTGAGAGAACTCAGAACTTAAATAATGTCTTAATTATTAGGCTATAATATAATTTATTTGTTTTGGGAACAGAATCTTATGTGAATACATGACTGAGGTTTGTTTAACCTGTTCTTAAGGTTCAGTCTGTTGCATGAACTTAGGCAATAAGTGGCAATCCCATGATCTCTCATAGTGAGAGATGCGTGCATTCATATTCTGTCTTTAATAAAACAACTTAGTATGATTTTGTTTTACAAATATCTTGCTATATTGTATACATTAAGTGGAAATTTTCTTTCAAACATTAAAATTGACCCAGATTTTATCCACAGTAAATAGATTTTGGTGGTCTTTGACTCTAAATTTATTATTTATTTTGCTTATTAGAACAAAACATATCTAATAAAAATGTTTGTGCACAAAATAGATAATGCATACTGCTTTAATACAGAGTCAGGTCTAAAACTACTAAAATCTTGTTATCTTCTAAGCCAAGTATCTGGGATAAAAACAAAAGTTGTCATAATTGGCCCAGTTTAGATGGATGTTCTTTACTACATATACCAAGATCCTAATTAATTTTCCTGATTTATTCAATATTACGGTCTAAAATGCACAGATCAGAAGCAACATGAATTTCTCATTTAATACAGCATAGGATCTTCATGCCTAATTGGGTAAGGGGAAGGTACATGGTTCGAACACAATATTCCTACATTCATAAATCCTCATTTAATTGGAAAATACCATTAAGTAACACATTTATCAGCCCTCTGAAAACAACTGGCTATTCTCATTTATTCACATGCTTACATGGTATCTAGAAATGTGCATATCCCATAATGTATTTGTAGGATGTTGAGAGAAAAAAAAACATTTTAACCATGTTGTATTAGATGAACCTGAATTTGTAATGTGATTACTTTCCAGTTATAAAGTTACCCAATGGATGAATAGTGTCCTATTTCCTGCAGATCTGCTTGTTGGAAATGCTAATTGAATTGCTTTGACTTTTCAGCACCTAATGGGGCTACTGACCACAAGGGGGCAATAGGGTGTACTGTAAATAGAAAAAGTTGTATGCCCCCACCACCCCTTTGTTTTTCTTTAAATTGTAATCTGAAGGCACCTCATTCTGCCTTTTTCCCCACGTTCAGTTGTGTAGAATATTCTTTGATTTTCTCGTGGCGGAATATAGTTGGCTAGATGCTAGATCAGCGATGGCGAACCTTTTAGAGACCAAGTGCCCAAACTGCAACCCAAAACCCACTTATTTATCACAAAGTGCCAGGGCTGCATCAGCATTGTGGTGGCCTCAGAGGCATGGGGTGTGGCCCACTGGATGGGCGTGGCTGCAGTTGTCACGGCAGACTGGGTGAGCGTGGCCGGGGCCCATCCCTCGCCATCTCTGGGGCATCCCCGGGGGGGCCAACGCAGCTTGCTCGCTTACTTCCTGCCCTGTCACTTCCAAACGCCATGTGCTCGCTACTCTGGCGAACTCTGCTGGGGCAACGGCACGCGTGCCCACAGAGAGGGCTCTGAGTGTCGCCTCTGGCACGTGTGCCATAGGTTCGCCACCACTGTGCTAGATTTTGCCAATTAAAATAAACATTACAAATAAACATTATTGCTATTATTAAAAAAAACCCTGCTTCACTAAGAATTGAGGGGCCCTTGATGCTCTCTGAGCTTTTGGTTATTTTTTCACACACTTTTCATTATCAAAACTAGGAAACATCATCGCTGCATTGTGCACTGATGTTGTTACCTAGTTTCGGTAAGGAGACGTCTGCGAGAAAACAATCAAGTTCAGAAAGCCTCAAAGACCCCTCATTTCAATCCTGTGCTACAAATATTCTCCTCTATCAGTACCACTAAGGATTACCCATGTGAGATTCTCATGCTCAGGGATCCTGCAAGCAGCCATAGAACATGTTGAAGATATGATTTGTTTAATAGCAACAGATGTGCAGGAAATAACAGGTGAAATATTTAATGAGCTGAGTTGGGCTATTACCTGCTGATTGGTGCAGCTCAAATGATTATCAGAAGCCTGTACAGCAGGGGTCTCCAACCTTGGCAACTTTAAGTCCACAAGTCTTAAAGTTGCCAAGGTTGGAGGCCCCTGCTATACAGGACCTAATTCCTAAATCTAAATGGCATTATTGGGTCAAGTCTTGTTTAGATAGCATTTTAGGAAAAAATGGCTCTGTATAGCTAGGGAAAGAGGCAAACTCATAATTGATTTTTTAAATTTGATAATTTATTGTCACTAAGACATCATGACATCTTATAAGACATTATGAGATATATATCTGAAATGACTGAAGTGAGAAAAATCTCTTTAACTGTTGTTTCCTGATCATCTAGATTCAAATCTAACAATGGGAAATGCAAATAAATATTCCCTGCAAACTTAAATCCATTAATAAATTCATTGGTATTAAAGCCTTCATTAATACTTACCAAAACTCTTTCTATTATATTTTCTCCAAATACAAAGCTAGAATGCTCACTGTCTGAGAAAGTTCTGTCTTTGGGTAACCGATTGCTTGAATAAATAAAAATATAAATGTGTGTGAGTGTGAGAGAGAGAGAGAAAGACAGACAGACAGACATCACCCATTTCTTTCCCAGGCCTGTTTTTTACCCCATTTCAATCTGCACATTCTATTTTGCAACCCTAGGCTGCCATACATATGTATAATGAGAGCATTTTATTTGATCCTTTACACTGTAAACCTGTTACTACTATGACCTAATTTTGAAAAGAGCAAAGGGACGGTGAAAGAGAGGGAGAGGGAGGGAGGGAGGGAGGGAAGGAAGGAAGCTTCCTTCCTTCGTCATGAAAATGGCTCATGAAATTCTCTCTATAATAATTCTATTAAATATCCACGGCTTGATTTTTGTTCTTGATGGTGACATCCTGCTGAAATTTCCTTGCCTCCACTTCAAAATCTGAAAGTATGCCCCACTTTTCCAGGTGGTAAAAAGGCAATCCCCAAATTATAATTCAGAATAATTGAAAAGTTTGACCAAATGTCTGAATATTTATTTCTCTCACTCATCATTATTTAAATAGATTTCAATTAACTTACTGTGTTGTGCTAGAACTTGAAATCTGTAGTGGGTGAGGAGGCTTTTTGGAAATTCCAATCCATGCATAGGTATCTTTAGACATCTAAAAACAATTCATTAAATCAGATTTGTTTCACTTGAATTTTAAAACATACAGATTGTGATAACCTTCCCATCTGTTTATTCTATCCACCACAGCATTAGCTTCCAGAAGTCAGAGATCTGTAGCATAAGTACACAAATCTGCCTTCTTTACGGGAACTATTTTTCCCAAAAAGAGAAAAAAACAATTTTGTTGGATTTGCCTAACAAATTCAACAAACAAATAAACAAATGTCATCTCAGTCTGCTTAAAAATTTGAACCAAACTTGCCACAAGTATTTTCGTATGGAAAATTTCTATCATAATGGCAATATGGAATATTTCAAAGCTTCCTCTATGGAGAGTCTCAATCATCCAGGTCATGGTTGATCCCAAGGTGCTTTTCAAAAGGCAAGTGGACTTTCTTGGTTTTTTCCTTGAAAACATTTTGCTTCTCATCCAAGAAGCTTCTTCAGTTCTTGAATGAGAAGCAAAACATTTTCAAGGAAAAAATATCAAGAAAGTCCAGCTACCTTTTGAAAAGCACCTTGGGGATATTGCAGAGCTTTCCTGCGTGAATTGGTTTCTTCATGGCTGCAACAATAAGAACACGTACTCTTGATGGCACATTATATTTTACCTGATTGTCTGTTTCATGATTCTCCTCTAAAAGATTTTCAGCAGTTTTCTTTTTTTCTATTCTGTATGTAGTCACTTGTGGCGGCTGCAGTCTGGCAGGCCTTAAAACCTCTCTTTGTCTGTTGCTTGTTGGAAAATCTTGAAAAATAGAGTGGAATTTTAATTCATGCTTTTCTTTCCTGATTCACAATCTTCTTATACGTGGATTTCTTAAAAGTTGCTCTTCCAAGTGAAAAATAGAATTTCATGATTGCTATAGTGCCTGGATATCTCTATTATTCTTCCTCAAGAACTATGGCAGTTAGATTTTCCCTCAGATTTAGCAAATATTTTGCAAATCTCTTTTTTCATGAACCATTTTACACCTTTCTGAAGGTGTAAATATATAGGATAGAAATGATATATCTGCTTAAATCAAGTCTTATGATACACAACTAGATGGATGTTTAAGCACTGAAATTTCATATATCATACATCAGAATCACCTGCCTGCTACACAGTCTATAAGGCTTGCGCGCAAGGACACAGTTCTCAATAAGCTAGTTTTATGACAGATATCCAAAAAGCTATAATTGGAATAGAAAACCAACAGCTGAAAGCTCCAAGATTCAAATCATACCCACAACAGTCCGCAAGGTTGAAACCTTACATCTCTTTCTTCTGATTGTTTATGACAGATCAAGAGCTGGTTATTCCTCTGTAGGAAGAGTGACTGACAGAAGCACTCACCATAGAAACAAAATGTTCCTTCTGATAAAAGTAACATCATTGCATCTCAAGCCTTTTGTACATGTGTTGTGCAGGTAGTCCTATGACTGTAGTTGAGCCCACAATTTTGGTCATAACTCGTGATGGTAATAAACTGGGTCAGCATATGACCATATCTGATTCTATGACCTTTTTTGTGGAAGTTGTAATGCCACAATTGTTAAGGGAAACCCATTGTTGGCTATGAGGCAGATTGTGAGGCAGAGGTAAACCTCAGCTTCTGGCAAAAATGTTGTAAATTACAGTCATGTGGCCACAGGGCTCTGCCAACAGCCATAAATGCAGGCCAGTTGCCAAACATCTAAAATGCATGACTGGTGGAGGGGATGTTGGAACTTCAAATCTGGGTTGTAAATCCTTTTTTTTGGACTACCCCATAACTTTGAACTGTTACTAAATGACTATCGTTAAATCGAGGAGTAACCTATAAGGTCAAACTCATCCAAAAGAGGTAGAATGTTCAGTACACCACAATGGTACAACACTACTGTCATCATCTTGATGAAAAGAGACAGAGCTGTGTCAGTCACTGATTGATATCTGCCAATTTCCCCCAATCTTTTACCTTTTCTATTTCCTTCTCTACCAGCTTTTACTCACCAAATGGGGATAAGATTGTTATATTTAAATAATTCTCCATACCTTGTTCTGTTGCTTTCACATCAATACATTCTTCTAATAGCCCCGAAGTCATGAACACATTGTTCTTCTTTACTATAAAGCAAACATATATCAAAATGTTCAGCGAAATTTGGATTCTTTTTTCCTGGTGTTACATTATAACGAGCTTCATCTTTTCAAGACTTTTCCAAGACTTTCAATGGTTTTGTTTTTTGTTTGTTTTTGGCAAGGATGGTATCCAGTCCACTTAAACTCATCAAAACTCTCTCACAGAGATAATTGATTGAAACGGACCAGCCCGAATGTACAGACCAGCCCTCTTCAAAAAATGTTTTTGGAGCCAGCAAGCTGATGGGGATAACAGCTGATCAGGAAGCTGCAGCCAGCCAGAGAGGATTTGTGATACAATAATTTAATTTATTTTAGCAGGAGTCTAGTACTGATTTTCTGTCAGAACAATCAAGTGACACAAGATTGAAACTAATTTGAATGAGCCTAATTTAAAAAACGCTGTCTCTCAGAAAGAGAGAAAGAGAGGAAGAGAGGGAGGGAGAGAGAGAGGGGGGGGAAGAGAAAAGAAAGGGAGGGAGAGAAAGAAAATCAGAGAGAGAGAGGGAAGAAAGAATGTATACATCTCCATATCAATTTTGTGGATTCACTTTCTAAGTCAACTTTTAACTTACCTGGCTGAGAAGGTGGAAATGTTGGGATGATGATAAAGGATGATGTTCTTGCTTGTTTCTTGGAACATAGAGTTTCTGGAAATGTAAATATTAAGTGGTGTTTTTCCCCCAGTAGCATTTTACATTTCATAATCTTAAGAAAGCGATTTATATTTGAATGCTGACATAGTTATAGTGGTGCCTATCTTTGCTAACAAATGAGACAGATACTCAGTATTTTGTATATTCACATAATTTCCCCTTACTGTCGCTCTGCCATCATTTATTTCAAGCCACATTTTGAAATGGTTAAAAAAAATGGTTAAAAATAAAAGCCTGGCATTCACCCTTAAGTCCACATGAGTTCAGGATGTAACATTTCAAACCAAATTTTGGAAAGCTGTACTTGTCAATGTAAATATAGCGTAAACAAATGGTTAAGAGAGAAGCAATACCTCTATATGACTCTGACTCAGAGGACTGAAAAGAAAAATATGAAGCTCTTGCACGTTTTCTGGATCCACTGGGAACTAAAGACAAAAAAACACCAGAGATGATAATCATATCATGAGACTGGACAACAATTTGTCTGAAATGATATAGGGTTTCCTGCAGGGGGTTGGACTAGAAGACCTCAAAGATATCTTCCAACTCTACTACTACTACTACTACTACTACTACTACTACTACTACTACTACTACTACTACTATTATTGATCATCGCACAGTCAGCCAGATGTTCAGACTGGATTTGGCATTTTTGTCTACCTATCGAGTCCTTCCCAAGGACCTGGGATAGGCAGATGTGGATGTTTGATGGTATTACAGATATCATCACAGGATGGAAGCAGTTCCTAGTAAGGCCGCCTTTTGCAATTGATTAATGGTGAATTTGTCAATAATAATAATAATAATAATAATAATAATAATAATAATAACAACAACAACTATTATTATTACTATTATTACTATAATAATAATAACTATTATTACTATTACTACTACTACTACTACTATTATTATTATTATTATTATTATTATTATTATTATTATTATTATTATATCAAATGGCAGCATCCCCATGGCCCTGTGATCAAAATTCAGGCACTTGGCAACTGCCATGTATTTACCATGGTTGCAGCACCCATGGATCATGTGATCACCATCTGTGACCTTCCCAAACAGCTACGACAAGGATTGGTAGGAAAGCTGGATTCCCTGAACGACTGCATGATTCACTTAATTGCAGCACTGATTTACTTCACCTCTATGGCAACAAAAAGCTCATAAAATCAAGCATGGCTCACTGCCTTGCTTAGCAACAGAAATTTTGGTCCCAAGTGTAGCCGTGAAGTATCATTGGGGATACTGTGGCGGTCCTAAGTGTCAGGACTGGTTGTAAGTCATTTTTTTCAGTACTGTTGTAGCTTTGGACATCCCTAAATGAATAGTTATAAGTTGAAGATTACCTGTATTTGGGTTCTGAAGCCCAACTCTGATGTTCTAACCTACCCCTTCCACAAGTTTGCCTAGAAAGATTTCTGAACAAAAATTGTGATTACCGTTTTCAGTCTTGTGCACTGGATCTTCTGCAGGCCTCTGAACAAAAAAGAAGGATTGGTTAAACCTTAAATGAAAAGTTGTAGATGTCAAATGCTTTAAAAAAAAAAAGATATGGTGGACATTCCAATGTCAGGCTCTTTTTGCCAAGCCTGTCACTAATCTCTTGGCTGAACACAACTAAAACAGTTTCCTAGGCAAGAAACTATTTGTTTATGTAAGTCTAATTATTGCAAAAAAAGAGTGAGGCCAAAGAAAGGAATTAGTTGGTGGCTGTCAGCATAAAGTTGCAAGTGCCGTTTTTAGTGGCTCAAATCCATAGCTTTCTCTTCCTGCTTTTCCATGAATTAATAGTCTTTGCACAACACTTGGTTGTCTTGAAGCCAAGCCTTTGCACAGTGTGGTTGTTGAATGTTTATGTTCTATGTGACTGTCCATATCATTCAAAGTTTTTGAAAGTACACTGGAGATTATCCCAGATTCCCCTGTTCCTTAGATACATGGGCTTCAGGTCCCCTAATTCCTAGTTTGTAAGGCTAGGCTGGAAGTTAAATTCCTACACATCTGGACGGCACCTCCTGCAGAAGAGAATTCCACCATGTTTGGATGAAATCGTATCTTCTCCTCTTGATCCCAAAAGAACAACACCACACACACAAAACAAACTTCATTAATCTTATTGCTAATTTACATAATAGTAATTATGAATATGTGTTTTCCATTCATACCAGAATTCAGTGAAAACTTTCTTCTGAAGAATGGGATACTGACTTAGTGTGACGTGAACTGGAAGGAACTCAATTCAGACGTTATTCTGAATGCAATTAAAGAAGAAAGAGCAATAAAGTGCCTTCATGCTTATGCAGAATAACATCAGGGGGGAAAATCTATGTACATATAAACATGTATCTAAATAGGAGATCACATTAATCTATGTTTTCCCAATCACACAACCATAAATAGTTTGTATGTGTACAGATGATTCGCTAGGATATAAAGGGGTTTATGTCAACTAGTATTTCTTTTTCTGGAGATACTGTTTCTATGCAGACATTCAATTAAACTGGCAATCCCACTTCATCCATCAGGTCGATCCACGTACGCTGAGTAAATTATCTTAAACAAATGCCAGAAGGATGGGAGGAGTTTCACGTCTTACCTTGCAAGGTCGTTCTTTCTTGAAGACAAACATGGGCTGCGCAATCACTGAACTGTCTGAAAGTAGAACAAAAAGTCCCAACATGAAACCATAGGCAAACAAGACCATCTTACTCTGTAGACCTATTTGTTGACTACAGGTTTCTATTTTTTTTTTCTCTTGAAAAAACAACTATTTGATCTTCAAAATCATATTGTTTTCAAATCTGCAAGTCACCTTTTCTATTTAGGGATGCAGATATAGCAATAGCAATAGCACTTAGACTTATATACTGCTTCACAGTGCTTTACAGCCCTCTCTAAGCAGTTTACAGAGTCAACATATTCAGTGGTGGGATTCAAATATGTGAACAACCGGTTCTCTGTGTGGATGCCGCTTCCGGAAGTCCATTCTGGGCCTGGGCAACAAAAAATTAGCTACCGTTTCTGCTGAAGTGGTGTGAACCAGCTGAATCCCACCACTGAACATATTACCTCCAATAATCTGGGGCCTCGTTTTAAGGCCTCGGAAGGATGGAAGGCAGTCAACCCCGAGCAGGTGAGGATTGAACCCCTGGCAGCCAGCAGAATTAGCCTGCAATATTGCACTCTAACCATTGTGCCGCCAGTGTAGAATTTTCCAAATAATTCAGATGATGTTTACAAAAATCCATATGTGATTCAGCTACAGGCTTCTAACTTGAGAAAATATGCAAACAGAATTCCGCTATGCTCTTGAACCTGAGAATGTAGTTATTGGTACTTTTATGTTTGCAGGGTTGAGGCATTAAGCGGAGACACATTGTGTAAGCAAGCTTCCTTTATTACTCTCTTCTTACAACCAACAACAACCAAAACGGCACGCAGGCCTTTTATAATGTCCCAGACCCGGACAATGTCAACCAATGATTGCAGAGGCTGTTTCCCGCCTTGTGCATGTGCGCAAGGCTGGAGACAGCCAGTCTGGTCCCAGGCAGCTTTGGGTCTGCCCAGGACCCTTTGCAACATTTCTTTTTTTTTTTCTTTTTTTTTTCCAAAGAAATTTTATTTTTTTTCCATCATAAAAAACAATCATAACATAAGTAAACACAATAACAAGTAAAAAAACCCCACCCACCCCCCAGACTTCCCAAACCTAATCCCAGGATAATATTCATATAAAAGTAAGCAAATACTAATATCTCTAACTCCACAAAATATCTTAATCTACATGAAAAGATAGAAAGAGTAAACAACTA